AATCATTCTATAAAATCAAATCGATAGTCGAACTGCTATCAGCTCAAGTTATCATATTGATTATCTATATATTTGCATCTCCAGATCCGCATTTCCAAGTTTAAAGAAATATTCAGAGAATTAAAATCAATTGAAAGAAATATTCTCATATACATATAAAGAAATAATGACTAGGAAGAGATTATTGCACATAACCTTCACAAAGAGTTAACCGTATTTAGTGATTCACACGAGACCAACGCAACAAGACTTCCATAAAGTCTCGTCTCGTCTCGCAGCGTCCAGTCTCGTCTTGTCTCGCGTCTCGTACGAGAGTCTCGCAAATGTATCGCAATTTCGTCATGCATAATCTTCTTCCAGTCTACTACGGGATATTCACCTTCACCTACTTCTTAGGTATAACGTAGAAGTAGGTAGAGGAAATTACAATAAAAATAACATTATTTATTGAAAAATGAGTACCTAATAGGTACCTACATACTGAAAGGCGATAGGCGATGCAACCGTGGCGTCGGCGGCCCGTCAAAACAAAGTTATTCTTAATCTTAGACTATTCAACACAGAATGACTTATTTATGGATTTTCAGGTAGTCATTCAATTTGCGATCTGTCGTTATTGCAGAATTACCTTTATATTCCGCCGCCGTAAGAGAGAGAATAGTCCGTTTTCGTTTCACGCATTACGTCTTTTAACAACAATCATGGAATACGTTCTTGAAGTAATTATAAATGAAATGTTTTGTCTATGTGCTAAATAGTCTGATTTTTTTCTAAATATGTTGTATTATGAATGAAAGGCTCAAGTCTGCAGTCGGCACGCAGGAATATTAGACTCTCGCACGAGACACGAGAAGTCTTGCACGAGACTCGAGACGAGACCAATAAAAGTCTCGTCTCGTCTTCTCCGAGTCTCGTCCCGAGTCTTGTCTCGAAAACGAGACGTGACTGCGAGTCTCTCGAAAACGAGACTATCGCGGGCACCACTAAACCGTATACATTGGTTGTTTCGTTATCTACCAAGTGCTGCCTATTCTTTGCACTTCCTTTCACCGTCAACGGGAAACAACTACTTTCCTGGCTATATACCACGACGAACATTGATATATCTGTTGAACATCCAAAAAGAGAGCATGATGAATAAAAGTCCTTTGAAATGGAGAATTGGGATAATATGATGTATTATGATATAAAAATATAACTTACCAATATGTTCAATATTGATATGAAAATCGAAATGTATAGGAGAAGTGAACTTGTATAAACACTGATATTGATCAGCTTGGGACCACCAAAAAAAAAAATCATTCGTATCTGTGATATGGGAATTATACCACAAACATCAGGTTATATGACTTCATTCGAATCAACTCATTTCAATAGATATAATTCAATGTTCGTCGTGGCAAACAGCCAAGAAAATAGTTGTTTTCTGTTGAATATCAATGTATTTCTTTATATGTATATCCCTTTTATGTTCATGATTTATCTGAGTATATTCCTTCTCAATGTTCTTCATCAATCAAGGGGTTCAAACTTGAACGATGAAATCATTTCATTTTTATAGACCTTCGATCGTAGATTCGTGATCAGGTTTCCTCAATTTAGAATTTCTTTCCACGTCCTGTATGAGGAATATCAATTTGTCGTACATCCAATAAATTGAAATCAAGTTATTTTTGAGAAATTCACCATTCCTGATATAGAATGCAATCTCGTTAAAACGAGCAGGTTATACTTTTGTCGAATCTGCATGCGTTAAAATGTGAAGAACATTCTAAAATACGGCGATTATTTCTGCATTCTACTGCCGTCTCTCATTTCAAACGTTATAAAGAGTTGAATGCTTCTTCTATATCTAGATTAATATAGTTCGCATGGCTGACGGTAAAGGTGAATTCAGATCACTTCAACACATCATTCCTTTCGAGAAATTTCTGTAAGAAGATCTTCATTAATAATAATTATAATAATAATAATTCTTTATTTATTACCAAAAACACTCACAGTAGGTTTCGTCAAATTAGAGTCCGGCAGTCAGTACAAACTGACATGTTTTTACACATAAAATTACATACTTACGTACTTACATATAAAATTACACATTGAAAATATAAATATTAATAAGATACAGAATAGTTCCAAGTTTTGATAATGAATACATACAAGTGTGTAGCAACCTATTATTTATTCTGGGTGAAGATGTTAGTACATTTAGTCATTTAGTGCTTTTACTTAAAAGCCGATAAAGGTAATAAGGTTGTTATTTTGGATAAACAGGATTATTTTCGAAGGGTTGACAATCTCATTGAAGATGGTCCTTATAGGAAACTAACGAGGAATCCATTACCTAAAATGGTCAGTCAAGTCAAATCAATTTTGAATAAATGCCCAAACCTTATTACTGCACATAATAAATATAAATTACAAATATCTAACCCAAGTGTACCAAGACTATATTGTTTACCAAAAATACACAAACCCGGTAAGAAAATGAGGCCAATTGTATCCGCAATTGGGTCTCCTACTTACAATATTTCAAAGTGGTTGGTTGAAGTTTTCAAAACATTGAATAATCCTTATAACAATCATTCTGTTTCAAACTCGCTTGAATTTATCGAAAAGGTCAAATGGTTGAATCTGACCGAAGGTGAAATTATTATATCATTTAATGTTTCATCACTTTTCCCAAGTGTACCCATACCAACAACTTTGGAATATTTAAAGGAATTACTCGAATATAACAATCTAGATCCAGATAATATTGAAGAATTGGTTGATCTCACTAATCTCTGCATGAGCCAAAATATTTTTCAATATAAACAAGAATTTTTTGAACAACATGAAGGTACAGCTATGGGAAATTGTTTATCGCCTTTCCTGGCTGAACTGTTCATGAATCGATTTGAAGCGAATGCAAAAGAAAAATTCGAGTATTTCCCTAGGGTTTGGATTAGATATGTTGATGATATTTTTGCTATTTTTGATACAAAAACCACAGATATAGATAACTTTATTTCAAAATTGAATAACTGCTTCCCCTCTATCAAATTCACTTATGAATGCGAAAATCAAGGCAAATTACCTTTCTTAGATGTACTTGTGATCAAAAATAGCGAAAACAACTTAGAATTTGATGTCTTTAGAAAAGAAACTAACACATTTAGATACATACCTAATGACTCCAATCACTTTTTTCAGCACAAAATGGCAAGTTTAAATTTTCTAGTACACAGATTGATTTCATTTCCTCTCAGCAAAGAAAGATTCAATGCTGAAAGAAATTTTGTTTATAAAGTGGCTGGCGTCAATGGGTATGATATCAAAATAGTAGATAAATTAATACGTAGACATAAATTTAAGTTAACACTTCGATATTCTACGACTTTTCAAACGGATAAAAAGAACTCTAGAAGAATCCCAATCCCGTACAATCCCAAGTATACGAAGGGACTTGATAAGGTTTTCAAAGACTTAGGTTTTGAAAGCGTTTATCAGTCTGGGTCAAAATTAGGCAATTTATTAGGCAATCCGAAAGATAAAGTGGACACACTTGAAAAGTCGGGAATATACGAAATAAGTTGTAATGATTGTGATAAAACATATCGTGGGCGTACAAGCAGAATCATGTGAGTCCAGAAAATAATAAAAGGAGAAAAGCACAATTGAATATTTGATTCAACCTGTAAAATTATAACGAAATTGACTTAAGTGGATTTTCATTGACTATATCTCCGGAAACAAACGCAAAAATATGGACTTGAATGTTTATTTGCTTGGAGCGTTACCTCGAGCGTTACGCTAATATGGACTTATGTGTGATAAATGCCTCATTTCCGAAAAAAGTGGACTTACAGGGTTCTGCTTGTACGCCCATGATATATAGGCCAAACCAGGCGACCCATAAAAACAAGGTTCAAAGAACACATAGCCCATTTAAAATATGGCAGGTTAGATAAATCTTGTGTAGCCGAACATATGTTCAATCACAATCATAACACACATATTACTAACCTCAAATTAGTTAAGCAAGTTAATAACATTAGAAAACTAGACGCATATGAAAGCTTAGAGATATTTAAGAATAGTAATAGAGTAATGAATAAGGATAATGGACCTATTCCATATAGCCCTCTATATAGTTTAGTAAAATAAAAATTTAAGATTAACATGTGAACTCAACCATGACAAACATTAACTTGACGGTTAGTATTTTTCACAGTTGGGTGAACATATACCTAGTATATAAGCAGCACACTAGAATAGGATATTTAGTTTCAATCTTCTCCTGAAGATGCTAACATAGTTAGCGAAACACGTGTCGAGGCGTTAAAAAAACGGTTTGGTTAGTGGTAAAACAGTGTAGTGTAGTCATTAAGTGGTTATTCATTGCATGAACTCTACAAAGTTATAAAAACATGTTTCCACCAAGTATTCTTTCAAAGCTTTTCTGAATGCTTGGTGAGATTTCAAGCTTTTCAGATTATCAGGGAGTTTATTGAAAATTTCAGGATCTATCAATATTATCGCCAGAAAATATCCCGTGCTATATTCAGCCAGCGACTTTTTCGATTGATTATAAATGAACAGGATTTAGGTTAATTGTGAAGCAACGGTTGGTCTTCCAAGTGAATGGTCCTGAAGATGCTTTTCTTGAATATGCTGTAGGCTTCACGATGGAATGTTGACAATATCATATAGAGATAATCTCCTCATGATGAATACAATGAAAAAGGATCGAGTCCGAAATTTATATCCGTATCAAACAGGCCAGTTGTTATTTGAGAATGTTTGAAAGTTTTCAAGGTGTTAAGTAATTTCTAGAAAATTCCGTTCAAGAACTATCTTCCTCATCGAGAAAATGAGGAATCGAAATGAGAGCACCATGACGCATACATTAATTTTTGTATTTCCACAAGAATCTGCTCTAAAATTCCGAGAACGGATCTGTGAATAATTGATAGAGTCATCTCAACAATTTATCTGTTTATCAGATTAGGTGGATAATTATGCTCCACTTTCTAGTGAATACATCTGGAATATGGTTGTAAAAATTGTGCTTTTTGTTTTATTTTCATTGTCGTCATTGTTTTTTATATCAGCAGCAAATAATGTAAGTTTTCTCATTTAAACTACCGCAATTTCTGAATGAATGATTAAATTTAAAATATATCATGAAAATATGTAAAACCGATGGGAAAGTGATAACACGACTAACATACACAATGGCTACTTCAAGAGAAATAATGGTACAATACAGTGACTGTATTTAACAACGTCACTGAATGGTATTAGTTTGATAAGAGTTCGGAAACAGAAATGACAACGGTTAGGGTTTTTGAATGTTTAGATTTATTAAGTTACACACCTTGCATTGTGACAAGAGTACCATAGTCGTCCCACGCTTGTTCATTCAAAATTGTTTGAATTTGACAATAAACTTTATAAACGTCAGAATTAAAATAAAATTTCATAATGGGGGAGACCACTGATTTTTTGAAACGACATTATCGTGAACTCTATATATACTGAACTACCAGTGAATTAATTTTGAATATTTTCAATCATGCTAAGACGATGAAAAAATAAATTAGAATATGTCCATTTCAAAACACATAATTCCTGCGCCATTTGCAATTTTGTCAATTCATTGGTGACACTGGTGCGACGTCTTAGTCCCAACACGCCTATTGTCCTTGAACTCACCAATCACACTGCAACACTGCAGAATGACGAGGTATCAGAGAGAGATAGCTTCAGTGCGGGACTAATACGTCACGGCTCCACCATCATATTTGGCTTTTCGAAATAACGAACGAAATATGCTGATTTCAAAACGATATAGATTTGATTCCCTTCAACTTCAACTCATGATATTGATTGTAGATCAAACGTAAATAATGATTCGTCGATTGAAAGAGGTTTGCACGGATTTCTTCCCTCAGTGGTCTTCCCCATTATACTTACGAGAAAAAAGCAGCTATAGAAATCACTTGCTGTCTAATAAATTGTGCCAATTCTGAAAGAAATGGATATCATTTATTCTATTTTCCAAAAGAAATATCAACCATTCGCTTATGGAAGGAAGATATGGAACGGCCTGGGTGGAAAATCAATTTGAAGACGAGCAAAATTTGTGAGGTACTCATTGAAATTCACTTTTTATAACAGCATCTGATTAGAATAAAACTATATTTTAGGCCCATTTTTAAATAGAAGGTTTCAAAATCTGTTTGAGAGAATCTGCTGTTCCATCAATTCACAAAGCAGGCGATTTCAAGAACGAAATTCCATCATCATCATCACACAAAATACAGAACAATTAGAATCATGGAAAAATAAGAAATTATAGCAAAATTACATAAAGAAATTGAAAATTTGAAAACGAAACTAAGAGAAGCAAGTAAACTACAACGTGATATATTATTGAATGGCGTTTTTGGTGCCGACCAAATTCAAAATTTAACAGTGAGAATTGAATAGTTATTTATGTACCAAGGGAATCATTATAAGGGCCTCAATTAGGCTGGAGGTTATCGTTTTGAAGATATTTTCTACATCGATCCATACTACTTAGCTCCTAGGGTGCTAAGTGAAGTTGCTGAGAACTTCACAAAACCAAGTATTCAGTAGGTCTCGTCAAAATAAACTACTTTTTTCCTATGAAATATTCACCAAAAAATAATTTGTCCCTGTATAACACCTTGATGTATCTCCGAAATGAAGCATTTCCGGACACAAGCTTATATAGACTTTATTTCTTAAAATTGTCTCAGGAATACTTCACTTGAACGAACTTATGTTACTTCCTGTATATTGAGAATACCTACCCTCTATTTTATATAAATAACTTCGAGTTTTATACTTATCACTGGAATACAGTTTCACATACAATATAGCCATAAGTTTATCCATATGTGTATATTTTCTAATATTAAAATGTTGTTACATGCATTCTTTTCATTTATATAACAGTTGTTCTGCTAGAAGTGTATCACTTTAAATTGAAGTAGGTGTTTGTACTCTATACCCATTGTCCATCTACGGCTATGATTGATTTGACAGAAAATATAACCTCTAAAATCGTATCTGACAATCAGGCGCTACTAGGGAAATTGAAAAGACGAAGAGCAGAATATATGTCTTATCCTTTTATTCACTCAAACCATTGTATTATAGAAATTAGAAAAGGACAAAAGTTCAGCTGTGTCCGAACTCTTATCAAACTAATAGTGAAATAGTATACAAACCTCGGCAGGTAGTTTCATTCCTGTCTCGAAATTATAGCTAACATCGACGCTTTGCGAATCTCACGACAGGAATGAATCACTTCCCACCTCGGTGTGTAATATACTATTACTTTATTCAAATAATGTAATGAATATAAACTGGTCAACATTGATAACGTCGTGGTCGAAATTATAGCCTGAATTCAAAGTAGAATAACTCACGACTGTCCTTACCAATTTGAAATCGGTTTCTACCGATGATTGGCCTAATCTCTTGACAATTTGTTGTGGCAATATGGAACTTCTGTAATCTCAGATAACATTGGTACAGGGTGATGATTGAATAGGTGTGAAATTGCATCGTGGTCGTCACTTTAACGTTTGAACAGATGATTTTTTTTCCTCATCTGTATCCTCTTAATAGATGCTTTTTCTCGAAACGTTTTCGAAATTTTCAAATTCAGAGCTTTGATAATCGTGTTACAAATATATTCATTCAAAATGATGCATTTTTGCGATGATTAATTTAATGAAATTGGAAGTTACAATACTTTTTCTAAGAGTCAACGTTGTATGTATAGTCATCGGATATGTGTTCGAATTAAGAAAATTCTAAAGAAGTCTGTACAAAGTGATACAAGAAATACTGAATGATGGAATGGAGCATAACGTAGTCTTCAGTAGATGAAACATAATTTTCTATGTGCCTCTAGTGAAATAATGAAGTGTTTCTTCGTCATGAGGATGTCTGGTGTATGACCTCGAAATGGTTTTGTAATTTCCCGGATCGAAGGTCGTATAATGAAGGTACGCATCTTTAACCCTTGATTACTCGCGCTGGTGTATTTTGTACACCAGCGCCAAATTTCTTGCTACCATCGAACGTAGAATTTTTTTTGTGGCTCTAGACTCCCACCTAACCTATGTCTAACATGTTTGGGATGTGATAGATCAGTTTTGTGTGTGTGTGTTTGTACGTAAATTTTGACGCGTTGTCACGTTGGTGCCCGTTGGTGCCTAGAATACAATACACTGAGTGGTAAATAGGGTGAATTATCTAAGTATTCAATATTGTATACAAACACGTTAGTTGTGTATCATGTGGACGTACTAAAAACAGAGTGTTTTTTTTTTAAATTAAATTTCCTCATTGGGTCCAGCACTGGATCCAACGCCCCATAAGTCGAAACTTGTGCGGGGTTAGGAGAGCATACGTTTTTGTTTCACCTAAAAACAAGTCAGATTCATCGTGGTGTACAAAATACACTGCGCGGGAAAAAGTTCGAATTAAAAATGGTGCATTTTCGTCAAGATAAATTATAAAATTCAGAAAATTACAGTTGCAGTTCCAGAAGTATAGAATTTATATTAATTCTTGACGATGGATATACAAGGTGCGATAAGAAATATGTCCAGATCGTCCCGGGATGAAGAATAATATGTTTAAACGTGATGAAAATCGCTATGTTCCGAAAAAAAAATTAAGTGTCGGTCATCGTCAAAATTTGTGAATTGTATAGATAAAGTACCTTTCCATGACGTTTATACGAGGAAACACAATTCTCGACAAAAGCCGACACTATATCTTTTCTCGGAACATAGCGAATTTCATCACGTTTAAACATCTTATTCTCCTTCATCCCGGGACAATCTGGACATATTTTTTATCGCAACTTGTATATCCATAATGAAGAAGAAATATATATTTCATACTTCTAGAACTACAATCGTAATTTTTTGAATTCTATAATTTATCTCAACAAAAATGCATCATATTGATTAAAAATGCGTACATTCATTATGACCTTCGATACGAGAAATAACAAAACCCTTTCGAGGTCAGACACCAGACATCCTCATGACGAAGTAACACTCTAGTATTCCACTAGTAACACAGAGGAAATTATGTTTCATCTACTGAAGACTACGTTATGCCCCATTCCATCATTCAGTATTTTTAGTATCACTTTGTATAGACTACTTCTGTAACTCTGCCAGAACTCCATGTTTGCTCGAAGTGGAAAGGAATCTTTCAAAGGGAAGAATGGGAGCCCAAACTCATCTCACTTCAATGATGTAAATAAATCAAAGGAACATGTTTCGAACTGATTAAAGTCCATCTTCACGACAATCCAGAAGTAAATACAAGCGAAGTCATTTGAAAACATACATATAAATACCATGAGTTGATTTTCATGAAGGTGTAACAGTTTTGTTAGTTGGTGCCAATGCTCATCATCATAATATCTGGTTATAAATATGAAAAACGAGAATAAACGGGTTCAATCATATCATATGTACAAAATTTGATAAATGGTATAAAAGATTTCCTGAATACCTTTTTCAAGGCTTTTTCATTTTGTAATACTCTTGTACACCAATAGTGACTTCCGCATATAAGTGTAGCATTTCAAGGTTGAATTGATTTCTCCAATCACCTATTATATACTTAGGAACCCAGAAAATTTGGAATACATAATGTTTATATTGAAAATCTAAGTTACGTTTCCAGTTTTTCATTTGACGAACCTTCGCAACATGGTATTTGTTTCATGTATAATAATCGAGAGCTGTTAGTTCATGTATACTGTCAGTTGGAACCTGAAGAAGCTACTGTATCAGTGGAATATTTCAATTGGAAGTCGAATTCTCAACCTTTCAGATGTTCCTTATATTCAATTTAGATTTCCATTAAGTTATGGCATAGTGAAGAACAATTCAAAGTATTAAATGCATTGTTCCAAAGTCCTATCTAGCAATTCAATTATTTCATTGTTCTTATCAATCGAAGGACTCTGATGACTTGATAGTTCAACTGGCCAAGGGAAAGATTCGTGGTCATGTCCTGGAAAGTTGGAACGGGAAGAACTACTATGCCTTCCAGGAAATTCCTTACGCTGCTCCACCTATCGGAGCAGCTAGATTTCAGGTATGTGTGATGAACCATTTGTTATGGAATATATCTACAGGTTAGGTTGTATCTACAGGTTGTCCAGGAATTATGCGCAAACTATCAAGAGAGTGCGATTCTGCATGAGAAAAAATGAAATTTATTTCACATATACGTGTGTCCAGAAATGCACAGTTTTGAAGTTAAGTGTGTTGAACTTTTAAAAAAATCGTTTTTTCATAAATATCTCAAATATTCATCTACCGATTTTCTTGAAATTTGGCTATAATATCTTTCGTCATGAGGAGCTGATGAATCCATGATGAAATTGGAATTGTGACATCCAGTGGCGTGCCGAGGGCACCCTACCGATTATTATTGTCAATAAAATGTGCGCCACTGCTTCTTCTGAATGCTTTATTTGCATATCCTATGGACCAACTGAATATGAAACATTCGGGTCTCTTGCATTTTTTTGATATTACGCTTCGTTTCCGTGGGATGATACATGTTTGGCACACTTTGTATTATTGAAAACAACACCTTCCAGGAGCAAGAACACATTGTTCTCAATATAGAGAGTGTAGGGTGTCAAATATACAGGGTGGTCCACGGTGGATGGCCTATTGGAAGTATCTGGAGAACGAATAGACAGAACATTCTGAAAATTGGGATGCTTTGATGATTGAACAGTCTCTATCCTACTAAAATATTTTCATCGATACAGTGTTGCCACTTCTATCAGAAACAACTAGCATTTTCGCTATTTCGAATGGAGCACCCTGTATTTTATTGCATTATTAGATTCTTCCTGAAGAGCTGATTTCATCAATGCATCAGACTTGGGGTCTAGCAGGAATGATTACAGACATATAGGGTGTTCAAAATCGAGATTTTTCAATTTCAGGATTTTTTTGTGTCGAAACTATTCATTATCGATCGGAACGACTTACTATCTTGACTTTTGATTCACTAACTACTGGAATTTAATTGGAACAAATACAGGGTTCAAGATTCAGAATTCTGATCACCCTGTATCTGTTCCAATCAAATGTCAGTAGATAGTGAATCAAAAGTTAAGATAGGGACATGTGAGCCGTTTCGACCGATGATGAATAGTTTCGACACAAAAAAATCCTAAAATTGAAAATTCTTGACTTTGAACACCCTATATCTCTGTAATCATTTCTGTTAGAACACAAGTGTGATGCATTGATGAAATCAGCTCTCCAGGAAGAATCTGAGAATGCAATAAAATACAGGGTGCTCCATTTAAAATGACGAAGTTGCTAGTTGTTTCTGATAGAAGTGGCAACACTGTATTGATGAAAATATTTTAGACGAATAGAAAATGTTCAATTATCAAATCCTCTCAATTTTCAGGATGTTCTGTCTTTTCGTTCTTCAGATATTTCAGATAGGCCATCCACTGTGGATCACCAAATATTCAAAGAAAATGAATCTTTTTTCTCAGTCTAGGTCTATGAAAATGGATCACGCATTTATTTTCACCCCAGTTTTTGAAAGGAACATTTGGCCAAAATGTATGCATATCAGCACCTCATGATTCAATTTCTGGAAAATCGGTGGATGGACATTCAGGATATTCAGGGAGAACTATTTTTTTCAAAGTTCAACACACTTTATTCGAAAACTATGCAATTCCGGACACACGTACATATGGAATTAATTCCTTATTGGATCATGTAGAATCACCTCCTTGATTTTTTGCGCATAATTTCCGGTCACCCTGTGTAGAGTGAGATTGAACTATCTAGAATGTTTTTGCACTGGTCTCTTCGGTCTCTTGGAATTGGTTATTATCTTGTGAGATATTTTGTGTTTTCTGATCCATTGATACAAATAATGTTATCATATCTACTGTATCATCCACATATTGATACGCGGACTCATCGAAAGAGGATATAAGAACCATAAAATGATAGATATACCCTGATTGTTCCACCTCTTTCATTATCTTTGTATATAAGTTTTTCAATAGAGAATTAGTGAAACTTCATGTCGATACCAAATCATGCTCTGTCCAATTAAAAACATTTTTGGGATTATTTTTTCTCGTCCCTATAGCGTTAGATGAATTTCTGGGGATCCTTTCAATGATTCCGAGCTCATCGTGAACTCCACTCAAGGAATGGGACCTGACAATCTATCACCATTCTTTAGATGTTTCCTTTTCAATATCTAATAACGTCTCCATAATAAATGTATATGGAGAAAAGAGTCATCCTAACAGTTTCAATATTCAATCAAATCATCCAAAGACTATCAAGGATTGAATAATCAATAGGGGAATTTTGAGTCGTACTCAATAGTATTGAAATCGAGTATGGCGACTATAAGAAAAATAAAATAAGCATAGTCAATAATCTCTGAAACTAATGGAGATAACTTACTTCTTATAATCGCAACTTCTCATGATTGATTACCCGATTTCTCCGAATAATTACCAAAAATCTTAACTATGAAGAAATAAATAAATAATAATTTGATCAACTCTCAATATCTTACCGTTTAAGTCGAAAATGTCAATAGTGTCCTACTGAAATCAGCTGAACCCCTGAAAGTATTGTAATAAGAATGGTGAATTAAAGATCAATCATCAAAAACATAGTGTAAGTGACTGACTCTATCACTGAAGAGTGCCAATAAAGAAAACGCAAGAAAATTTGTGAAGAATAATTCCTCCACTTCCATGAAGAAAACAGTAGCTGATTCTTTCCCAAAACGTCGTGAGATAAGTGATATTTCATGTTCTTCAATATATCATTATTATTTTCCTTCTCAGAAAATTTTTGGAAGGTGTCAATAACTATCGATCGACTTTTAGTTTCTAGTTCCTCTTATTGAAATTAGGTTTATTGAAATAATACTGATATTTTCATTCTCAGAGACGAAGAGATAAAATTCCAAAAATATAGTTTTATGAATGTACAAGTTCAGTACTCTAATAATATTCCAATTTTCGTATTCACCATCCGAGGAGAGGATAACAGTAGATAGTCTACAATAGATAATAGCTCACAACTATTGAAGCATTTGGAAGAAAATATTTCGGAAACCACATGAAGTCTTATAGAGACTATGTATAATTAGAGATTGAAGACTTCTTGAGATTCATTTCATTTCAGTTACCAAGAGAAGTAGAACCATGGGAAGGAATTCTGAACACCACCAGCAATTCGAGAGTTTGTTATCAACTGGAATACAAATATGACAGTCTTCATTACACTGAAGACTGTTTGTTAATGAATGTTTACAGTCCATCGGTGAGTTTCTTCACAGGTGATTCAAAGCAACATTGAAACATCAAAATCGGATATACGTGTTGATACTACTATGATATGATTTCTCAGATGGAATATTCAGCTTTGTACTAATATGATTATTTTACTAATTTCATAATTCACGTTTTTGATTGGTTTAAATATATCTATTGATGATAGAAAATCATCTTGGATCATCAGCTAGATTAGATAGATAAACTGAAAAAGTTTAAACAGCTCGTTTATCCAAGAATTTCATGAAATTCATCAATCAAAAGGAGTAGTAGCCCACTGAACATGATACATAACAAAAATATATTTCAGAAATAAGTTGTGATAATTATTGTTGAAATAAAATTGCGATCATGTCCTTTCGAAATATCCAATATAACATGGAGTGGGACGTTTATAAGATGCTTCATCAATATTGAAATCAATATTCGTACATAACATTGTAACATGTTGATTTTAGGTTGTTCAAATATATCTCAGAGCTGTTGTTTTATTCGTGCAACGTTTTCGTTTCTCCACCTCATAACGTAGCTCATATTCATACAGGATACAAGAGTATAATATTTTTTTCCTACAGCAAAGTAACCTTGTCAACTGTCGAAAGTCAATTCGATTCCATTCTTGCCATTTTGTTTGTTATCTATTATGGTGAACAGGTCAATCAGTGTAAACCGTAATAGTATTGATTGTCAGCTATTATTGGTAGTTATCAAAGTAAGATAAAAACTAAACAAGTCTTGGACTGAAACAAATCCGAATGAAAATTTGGATTCGTTTCAGTTGGACGATACCTACTCAGATTTTATCAGGTTTGCTCTGCTGGAATATGGAAATGCATCCAATCTGTTGTATCGCTGTATTCCATAAATTGTGAAAAAGCAGGAGGGGTTCGTGAAGACAGATTGTCCTCACATTTCTCGAAATACAAAAATTATAAGAGTTATATATCATAGCCAGAAGCAGCACAGAGTCAGAATAAAATTTCAAAATCAGTCAAGAAAAATCCAAGAAACTGTAGCAATATCTACCTATTGCTCTTCAGAATACAAGACAATATGGTCCAGTGAGAGATAACTCTGGGTTATGCAGAAGTCATATACCTAACCTAGCTATGACTGAATTTATGGAACAGAATAACTAAAATGATACTCAGGAAGATATAGTATCTGTCTCAAAATATCACTGTGTAACTGGATTCTGTTCATTGTCTTTCAGGAGTACGGCAAGATCAATTATTCATCAACACGACAGTTATATTCAGAGATGAATCATCTTCTTTTTTTTTTCTTGAATCATTCAGATGATTCTCTTGATGATTCCAGAAGAAATAGACGTAACCTAAAAACTCCAAGAAAATAATTATTATGTTAATTTACAATACTGTTTACATTTTATGACTAACATTAAATAAACGTTATGAAGTATCATTTATGTTATGAGATTCCTGGAATATTTTCATTATATTTATCATTATAACATTATATTGATACATTTAAAAAAGGCACAAAGGCCCATTGCCGCAACGTACCTGTGACATTAAGCAACTCTCTGAATAACATCACAAAGTAACAATTTAATATAACATTTATGTTTTCATGTTCAGTGGGAGTGCATATTTCGAGCATAAATGGGCTCATCTTCAGAATTCTAAATTGCTTGACAAAATTAAAAAAGTTGGATCATGATGCTCCATCGAACTACCCACATTCACATTGAAACATTATATTATTTGCTCACTGACACATGAACAATGACAATTTTTCCAATTATAGTAAATAGTTGAATCGATATTTGGAATGCATTTCACAGCTTCACAGAGAAGTCCTACACAACTGATATAAGACCACTGGTTTCATGGTGTTTTTAGAGTGTTCACATTTGTTAGTTCATCCTATAACGTGATCGTAAAACATATTCCTATGTTCATTTCATTATATCCATGCAATTTCATGAGAATTGTATATTTCCATATCGAAATATTGCCTATTCATCAACATCAGCAATTCTTCTTGGTTGTGAAGGCATTATAGGACCGTATTCAATCGCCCTATGATTCTCAACATTACCATAATATTCGCTGTTAGGCATTTCTAACAACTTTGAGATAGGAGTATTGTTAGTTGAGGCTCATAAGCTCTTCAGGCGATTCAGAACTACAATGGATTTATCGAGCTCTAATTCAACTCAATTCCATGAAACACATAATTTGAATATCTTCCTATACCTTGAATCCACTGTTTTCCAATTGATATTACTCATGACTCATATAATAAATCATATTGTCATGTAGTATATCTTAATCAATTTTTCATTCATCTGAATTCGAAAATAATTATTTTTATAAAATAACATTCATTTCAAATCCAATGTATTGCATGACAGGCATACCTAGACAGGAACTAAAGTTTCCTATTACAACTAATATTTCCATAACCTGTATGAACTCAGATTGAACGTAAAATACATTGATTCTAAAACTGCTGAGATATATGAATTAATATACCATCAGAGGGGGAAATATTGGTTGGAGTAGTTTGAATATGAAAAATAGGAAGTCAGTCTACTTCGGGCGTAGAGCAGGAAAGGTTCTCTGAGCCCATTGAAGATGGTTCCCCTAGTATCCGAATTGTGAGTACACTTTTAATTGTTTTATTGAATAAACATGTTTCTTTTATGTTTTTAAATACTCTCTTCATTTCTTTGTGTTCCACAATTCAACAACAACCCTCTCAAAGCCAAGCGAGTAAGTAAATTAAGTCTATGGAATTAGTACCCTCAAGGGGGGTATAATATTTTGGAAAGGTCGTCATAAATACATATATGTACCCTTGAGGGTACTAATTCCATAGACTTAATTTACTTACTCGCTTGGCTTTGAGAGGGTTGTTGTTGAATTGTGGAACACAAAGAAATGAAGAGAGTATTTAAAAACATAAAAGAAACATGTTTATTCAATAAAACAATTAAAAGTGTACTCACAATTCGGATACTAGGGGAACCATCTTCAATGGGCTCAGAGAACCTTTCCTGCTCTACGCCCGAAGTAGAGTGACTTCCTATTTTTCATATTCAAACTACTCCAACCAATATTTCCCCCTCTGATGGTATATTAATTCATATATCTCAGCAGTTTTAGAATCAATGTATTTTACGTTCAATCTGAGTTCATACAGGTTATGGAAATATTAGTTGTAATAGGAAACTTTAGTTCCTGTCTAGGTATGCCTGTCATGCAATACATTGGATTTGAAATGAATGTTATTTTATAAAAATAATTATTTTCGAATTCAGATGAATGAAAAATTGATTAAGATATACTACATGACATTTCTCTTCGGCCCATCGAAGCTGGACCCCAGCAAAAAAATAAGGAAAAACACTGAAATCTTAATAAAAAAAACATATGTCAACATGTGTCTCATTAAACCAGTGATTGTCCTGAAGAACAACGTGTTGAAACTGAGTTTTAAAGGTTTACATGATATGGATATAAATCTTAGTAATAACATTTGATAGAAGTGTATCTTTGCCAAACAAAATATCTAGCAAAATAATGAGTAAAACACTGAAATCACAATAACAAAATTAATATATGGTAATGTCAATATTGAAAAAAAATAAGAACAAAATCGGATAAAGAAAAAAACAAAAATGTGTAAAAAATCAAGTCTGACCACAAATTCAATAGTTCACTCGCACCCACTGAATCATAATGCACTCTATGATTGAGTCCGGACCTGCTCATTCCACGGTTGTTGTCGGTTATCCTTGTCTCTCCCATCTATCCTATCGACCATCCATCCTAGCGTCTAGAAATCAGCAATCGACATATATGATTCTATGCCGTAAACCCATATCAGAATGATTCATGTTTTCCAGCCATTCGTTGTCGTTGAGTTAGGTCAAGAACTTGACCTAGTTCCTAACTCGCCTATGGAAGCTGTGCTTCTGCTGCTCTGTCATCTTCATTCGAGAATATTGGCGGATCCTTGGGTTAGTTTTGTTGAACCTATCTATCTCGTAGTATCTGTCGTACAATAGGTAGGTATAGTACTCGGCATTAATTTTCCGAATATATCTCCATGCAGTAATCAATCATTAACGAATTTGTCAAGAGCTGCTCGATCCACCCTTATTCGTACTAATGACTTGATTAATATTTACTAAATCCACCCTTCTTCGTACTGACGAATTTATCAAGAGTCACTAAATTCGCTCTGATTCGTAATAGGTGTATTAGTAATTAGTTGATGCGACTTCGATGACTAGGAACGTTTGGTTTCTCAGGACAATTCTCTGTCTCATGGAGTGTGATCTAGGAATCCGACTCGCCATGGTATGATGAGGTTCTATACTGGATGCCAATGGTGTGGTGTGGTTTGTGTGATGTGGTCCATATACATGAAAAAAACATAATACGCAGTAAATGCTAATTGGAATAGGTTATCAACTTAGATACAAAACAAATTGTCATAATAAATCCTTACATAAAAAATTATCGAACATTGATTATTGACAATAGGAGGTATTGAACATATTTTCAATAATTCATTAGGTATATTTCTAAATCTGGGTTTAACATTAAAAATAAACATTCGTGTATGTTTATACATACAAAATAGGTTATGTGCAAGCAATTGCCATTTAAAATATTGAACAATCTGGCCATTATTGATTTTACCTTACAATTCATTTTATTTTCCACATTCGGAAAATGTATTACCATCTTTCTCATATCATTAATTGCATATAATTATCGTTTGTCATAATTCCATAAATCTTATTTTTTTCTAGATAGGGCCCTATCAATACTCAGTTATACCTGAATTTTCAATCGTAAGTCAACATATTTCACAAGTACCTATATTCATCATACTTTTCTCCTTCTATATTATATACTCATTGTGGTTTACTAACTTTACTTACTGCTAAGACATTTATCTGATATTTTTACGATAATATCAGCTTAAATTCCCCAGAGAAGTATTATG